CACGCGGGAGTAGATCAACCATGATACACCTGGGTGAGTTCTTTGCAGTGACTAAAAAACTTACTTGAAGGGGCATCCAAAACCAACAGTTTAGAGGTAAGGTTAGGTGAAAGTAGATGAAGGTGCGCACGATCTGGAGTAAAGAGATTATTTTAAGGAACGAATTTTAAGAAATAGGTGTTAAGTCGTGAGATCGGTTAGGTTATGAAGAAATGTAGGTTACATTAGAGTAGCTACTGAGTTCACTGTTGCATATCGTATCTCACTCTCTTCTTGTTCACTCCTGGTCATTTTTTTCAAAGAAATTAGATTTTAACTTGACTGATGAGTTTGGTTTTCGGTATTGTATACTTTTGTCATTGCTTTTAGTCTCCCTTGAGCCCAGGCACCAGTAGCGCCATTGTACGTGGTATTACCGTTTGTGGTTGGGCCACCAACGAATTGATAATAATCGTTGGAACTGGCCAAGAGATCAACACGCTCGTATACGAGCGAGAAGTTTGTTTCACAGCATACTGTATTGCGTTATGAAAAATCTACATCGAAGTTTTGAGCGATACTTGTTCACTGGGATGGTGTACTCGCTATTACGCAGATTATATACCTGTGTTGATCTAAAAGTGATAGCACGTCTCGTTTTAGAGCTTCCAAATAAAAGGCGAAAAAGAAAGGTTAGGTTGAGCTTCAGGTGTCTCAGCCAGCCTCACCTTAGATTTCTCCTACTGCTTTCACGTCGTCGGCAAAAAGAAGGATTTTATAAAAAACGTGTCAAGGCAAGTCGTCCATTTACATTAGAAAAAATGGAGGCGCTAGCATCGGACCTTAGGGAGCAGCATCGAGGCATTCTCTTACTCCAGATACAGAGAAACCCACCAGGACTCTACATAAACCACCTAGCAGATGTGAGGACAGCCAGTCAGTAGGCGGCATCCTTATCTCTATGTTGACATCGACAGTCGACAGTGCTAGTCCAGCCTTCTGCCTCGTAAAGGTGAAGCCAGATTAACCGTTGGTCACCGGAAAGGCGGGGAAAAAGTTTTCACTTGGTGAACCATACAAAGCTGCAACCGCGGTGGTGCACCTGAGCTGAATGGGTGGATTCACAAAATGTGATGATAACCTCCATGACGTTGAGCAGTGAAGGTGGCTAGAGGTAAAAATGGGACTTAAAAGTTTGCCTGCTGGCAGCGTAAGTTAGCAAGACCTACGCACCTGGAGAGCACTCCCTCACCAAATTGCCAGCTGTACGCTTCGACTCCATGGCATCACACAGAAGCTCCCACAGCAAGGTACTGTGTAAAAAACGAAACAAGAGGTGCCGTATGATGCCACAAAAGTAAACCAGGATCTGCCAGGCTGGAAGAAAGGAGGCAGTGTCCAAGGATATTACAGACAGTAATGGTCACCAAAGAACCATCTGGTGAACTGCTTGTAGACATGACAATGAATAGTACCGCCGCACCAACACCAGGATGCCAAGAGGGACCAAAACACTGAGGTGTACTAGTCCAGTAGCGATCGGCGCAACAGCAAACCAGCTTCCAAATGAGTCCCTAAATCGCATTGAGCCCAAAACGTGGCTTCTTGACGTGCTTCTACAGCAACATAGAGGGTCTTAGGAGTAAATTGCTGGAGCTAAGAACAATGTCATAATCTGCAAGGGGATATAATTTTTATCACGGGGACGTGTCCCCCACCAGACATTGTAGATCAGGAAATATATTTGCCTAACATGATCTCGTTCCAAAAGGGCAGGCAGTCCAAAGAAGGCGGAGGAGCGACCATGTACATTGGCACGCAACTGAAAGTCAAGGAAGTGACCAGTGGTGTATTTAGCTTACTATCAGACTCCGCATGGTGCCGTTTCACCACAAGCCAAACCAAGCACCTATTGAGAGTGGCACACATGCCCAATCTTTGCACGACAGATCGTAGGCCGCAACTGTACAGCGCCATTTCAACACTCACCTCGGCAGCACACGATCATGTGGTCCTCGCTGGAGACTGCCACTCAAGCCGGGATGCTAAGTAAGGTGTAAACATAAGTCTTTCGAACATAAACTTCGGAACACCTTTATGGAAGCAGGGTTGACGGAGAGGGTAGGTGAGGACACCAGCTGAGAACCAAATGGAAAAGGATCGCACTTCGACACCTTCTAATGAAGGATGATCTTTTAGCAGACGATATCTGAGTCCAAATCTACAGGGTTAAAGCAAAAACGCCTAGGTGAGATTCCCCCTATAAACAAGGAGAAACTACCAATATTTGAGCCGGAAGCGTTTTTCGCTGTTGCCGAAAAGCAGACTACTATGTCACTAACTAGAAGCTTCTGCAGGCTGTATTATCACAGAAGTGACGCTCACTATCGACAGACGAGCACTGGATACGTGCGAAAGACACTATTTGCGGCGCAATCGAGAAGTGTTCCGAACATAACCAAACAGTCGCCTCTCAAACGGTCTTCGCTAACTCCAGCTACCTAAATTTAGATCCGGAGGAAACGAAGACATAGTTTCAGCGGCGTGCATGCCACAAAGATTCAGATTTTCATAGCTACAAGGCGTAAAGCAACCCATGTAATATAAGAATTCGTAATGACAGGTATGCATACCAGGGCAACCTGGCTAAACTGTCAATTTATAATCCGAAAAATCTGCTACGGTTTGCATCACGACGCTAACCTATAAATAAGGGCTTAAACACGATCAAAGGATTGGCCGGAGAACCTTTGAACAGCACCGAGATAGCGGAACTGTTGAGCAGCCGATTTGACTGGCAGCTCAACCTAGTACAACATCTAGTTATGAAACGAAGCCCTGGAATTGCAATACAAAGCTGATGACTGTAAAGATTTCGTTTACTCAAGCGTTGGCGAAACTTTCAACAATGGGAATAGGGAAGTCACCGGGCTGTGACGACATAAAGCCGGTGATCCCACGCAACCGTACCCGAGTGCTAAGCATACTCGTATGCAACCTGTTTACGGCTTCGCTGTAAGTCAACTGCCCAAAGAATGGAAGCACGTCATCCTTTCACCAGTCTTCAAGGGAGGAAATCGAAGAACCCCGTGCAACTACAGACCAAAAGCATTACTCCCCATACTTTCCAAGGTCCTGGCAAGCCCGGTTGCAGATGTTGTTCGGGACTACGTGAGCAGAAACAACACCCCATCCCATCGGAGGGTTGTGTACTGCGAACCCGATGACCGTTGGGGATGGCTGGACCATTAGACGGGACAGCAAAAAGCCAGTTTACGCTGTTTCTGGACTTGGCCAAGGCGCATGATAGCGTCCTAGACAGCACCATGCTCTCCAAACTTGCAAAAGCGGGCATCACTGAACCACCCCTGAGATGGTTTACAGCATACCTAGAAAACAGAGAATTCCGCACTAAAGAAAACAGAATCGGATCCACCCGGAGGAACGCGGGAACAGGAGTTTTTAAAGGGGTGATCCTTGGACCACCCCTACTTTTACTATGCACATATGACATTCCCACTAATATCTCCCTGTCTATCCTCCTACCTGCCGATGGCACCAAAATATGGCGGACAATAGGTGAGGAGGAAGATCCAAGGACACTCCAAAACGACCTGTTGCAGCTGGAGTCCTGGTTAGCTGCGAACAGTTTGAGCGTTAATCTGGGGAAATGCAAGGCGATGTACCTTCGCACCTTCAACAAATGTGCGATCGCTAAGGCATCCACAGAGAAGGACCTAGGACCGAACGTCCCTGGCAAACCGGATACCACTGACGATTATAAGGGAATGGCAACAAAGGGGAACACCATCGTGCACTTTCTGAGGAGGTAGCTTGGATCGCTAACCTAGATTTATTCCTTATGGTATTTAAAACCTGTCTTAGGCCACATCTAGTGGTTTTCAATACGATAGCCCTCCCTCGCTTCTAAAGAGAGATGCAAATACTCTCAAGAAGGCGCAGAGAAGAGCTCCAAAATCGGTTGTCGGGTTGCCAGGCTAAAAACATGTCCAGCGCCTCAGAAAACTTAACTCGTCCACAATAAGATATCGAAGGAGAAGAAGTGACTTGACAACAGCCTACAATATCACTCACCAACTGCACCACTGAAGTAGGTCAACTTTGCCGGTCGAAAATCGACCGTCCTGTGGGGATCCCACTGACTAACCCTACCACAGGTCAAAGAAGGGGGGACCAAGATTCTTCTCTCACAGAGTACGTGCCTTATGGAACACTCTGCCAAAGGAAGTAGACACAGCTACGTCAACCGACTCCTCCAAAGGACTACTGGTTGAGTATGTGAGTGCGAATGGCTTGCCACGAACACCTGTCAGTAGCAACTGATGATATACTGTTCCATCTCTGCGTTCCTCAACCCCAGTATCCACAGTCAGGCGCATCTCTTCTCCATGTTATTGCCAGTAACACTTATCTTTCCTCCTTTTCTCATTCCCCGCTTACCTTATTTCTAGCAATTTTTGAACAATGCCTAATACTTAATTGCGGGTGCCTACAAAAAATGGAATTGCAAACAGTTAATTGATCTTATCACAGGCTCCGTTGCACCCATCGAAACAAACCAAGCTATAATTTGCAAATAAAATACCTTCAAATAGGCATTCACTACCTCCAACGCTATAAGCGGAAAAAAAGCAGACTTTTGCGACCATCCAAGGAGTACAACCGCACAAAAAGAGCCGACCCTCAAGACCTAGAGCTCAAGAACTACAAGTTTCCTCTACTTGAGCCAGAACTGGACGCGAAAGATCAAAAACTACCAGTTTTCTACGCTCGCACTATCAATATTGGATATTGGATTTTGAATGTTGAATCTATTTGCTGTTATGTTATGAGAATTCCGTAGAGAAATTCATATGCCACAGGATTCCCCAATGACTTTCAAGGGCTAAAATTTTCACAATAAATACGTTTCGGACGCTTCATTAGTAGGTTTTGTTATTCTCATTGATTTGGACATATTGAAAAGTGCCATAAAGTCTGGGCGGTTTAAGTTGGTGAATATGTGGGATCCAGTTGTAGTCAATGTTAGCCATCTGTCGTGTCAGACAAGTAGGGTTGCTTCGGATAGGAGGTCACTTATTTACTTGCAACCCCCAAATGTTTTGGTTGGCAGGAAAAGAGCCCGGTTAGACGATCTCACAGAGGAGGAGAAAATTATCAGAAGGTATATTTCAAGTTCCTTAGACTGACTATAGCATTACAGGAAAATACTAAACAGAGAAGCAGCCCAAAAAGCACGTGATCGCAAGAGGAATTTGATGGAGCATATGGAGGAAAACTTAGCTCAACTACGATGGGAGAATGAATATCTAAAGTCATCTAACAAGATGCTACAACAAAAATTTGTGGAGCAGGAACAAAAATTTCAAATTCTTCAAAAGAAATTTGAGGGTGTCATTAAGCGTGTGGAGAGGTTTGCTGAAAGTCAGATTGAGCCACCAGAGTCCGCTGTACTCCTCCCTCTGCAGAAGGGAGTGGCTCTCTGTCTGCTCGTACTACTGTATCTCCACATTTGTCTAAAATGGACCCTGTCGAAACTCCCCTGTACAACGATGCTCCAGAAGATGTCTCGTCAACGCTTTTTGATGCTCAAGTCGTTGAGGTCACAACACATGATCCGTCTGAAACTCCGAAGTCTAGGAACTACGATTCCGCTGACAACTTAACCCCAAGCTCCCCTCTTTATGAGAACATTTTGTCCAGTCTCCAAGAAGATGGTGTGCCGAGCATCCCAGGATTAACTGACTCATATGACTCGGAGGAGAGTCTTAGTGATCTCCTAGAACTTTTGAGTGGCGATGCTTTCGAAGATGATGTCCTTACGGGTGGTTTTTGATTCTTTTCTTACTTTTGTCATTTCATAGGACCATTTCATTCCCTGTGTCATATTGTACATATTACTTCTTACAGTCTGATTTCAGTTATTTCTCTATAACCTTGGCTTTTCACTTCTGAATATTGGGAGCTTTTGGGCATGTTTCGACGGGATCTCATGTATTTGGATTGTTACATACCTATTCATTCCCTAGTGTTTTAGTGAGTATTTGTACTGTTTGCTGCCGTTTCACATATTAGGTGTTCAGTTGACTTCGCCTATTGAGGCAAGACAGTTCACAGTTCTGGCATGCTTATAAAACGTGTTGAGTGCATCGAGATATATTTAGTTAGTTGAGGTGTGTGATGTACATCTCGTTTGAATGCGTTCACAATTTTAGATGGTGCCTATAATTTCGTTTGATATGCTGAGTTAGTGCGTGTAGTCATTTGTTTAGTTGTTTAGTACCTTGTCTTCACTTTTGTCATAAGGGAAATTTATGTGACCCCCAGCGCAATATTCGACGTAACTTAGTACTTCATTTCTGAGATGGTGGTGTGAGACGTACGACCAGAGCAGGTGTCACGAAATATCTAACTCCTGTAACTACACTGACGATGCTGACCTATCTCCGGCATAGACAGAAGTCACAAATTAGCAGCTTAACACAATTTGTGACGCTGCCACATAAATCTTCAGCTTAGACATTAGTACAGTCTTCCCCACTAAGGTCTACTTCCTTGCGGTAAAAACAGATGTTCATGTGTGGTGAATAATTTAAATATTTGCGAAGTCACTGTGCAACTGCTTATTAAGATTTTCTTGGTGGTAGTGTGAAAAAGTATTTGATCGAGAAATACAGCCCCAAAATGTTCTGCTTTCCTCACTAAGATGTAGGTTAGTGCGAGTTAACGCGTATGTATGCACCATGAAAATAAACTATTAAGGTCGTATACTATGAGTTAGAGTGACTGGGAAGTTGTACCACTGTGTAGGGAAGTGGTCATAGTGTTTAAACAGATGGGCTGGTTTTCATTGATATTTTCGCGTGTAATGATATATGACATTAGGCCGTAATATGCATCCTTCCCAAATACCAGCGGAAGGAACCTGACTACAGAGAGTGACAGTTCGATAGGAGGCGTGATACATGAATCGTATAATGTATTTCCTTGGAGGTGGCAGCAGTGTCAGATAAGTTGGGGGGGGGGGGGAATGAAGCTGTAATCCGTTTCAAGACTTCTGTATAAGGCACTCAATGTACCACTAGACCAATGATATGGAAGGTAATAAAGACCAAGCAGATCAGATGAAGTCTTCCATAACGGTTGTCTATCATTCTGTGTCGCTTGTTTTGAAGATCATTAAAAATAGTTCTGTGAACCGAAAAACTGGTAAAAGTATAGGGGATGATTAAGGAATATCCGCCATGTAAACCTGTCGAAATATTCTAAAATTCATAAGCATTATCGATTTAGAATAATTACCTTGAGCGAAACCACGTGTGTGAAGAAACGTAACGGATTAATTTATTGAGTAGACCGAATGCTTGGCTAGAAACAGGCCAGTCTCCCTAAGCTATTTGAATGTAGATTTTGTCTTCAAAAGTGACGAGCGAGGCGAGATGAACCAGTGAGGGATTACATCAAACCTAGTACTGACATTAGCTATGGGTTATTTCCACACAAGTCCTAACGTATTTGGAATAAAATAATACTAATGTTTCGCTTGGAGGTCTGATTAAAACTTTCTCAGGGAAATATTTCATTATCAAAGATATGAGAAATCAAATGATGCGTACTCAATCTCCTTTCCAGCCCTGTTTGTGTAACCATTGTTTTCTAAAATGCGTTTGTTAGTAATTCATTTAGAAATTCTTTTGTTGTGCAGTGTTTCATCGTATTCTCTATTGTAAATACAATACCAGAAGGAACACTAGTAGCATTGTAATCACTCGGTGATTTAATGCAGAGCATATAAAATGAATATTTGTCACTGCTATTTGTATGTTTATGTGAATTAGTGTTAACACATTTTTTCATTGACTTGTTGAAATAAAGTAAGAGTGAATGTTGTTGATAATTGTGAAGATAATAATAGTGCATCGAATTAATCCAGATTGTTTTATCGTTGATGCAGAGAGAATGAATGATGAGCCTGCTGTTGAAGATCAATGCAAAAATTGCTCTTTCTATTTGTTAATTAGTAATTGCCGAGAGAACTAACTTCATTTTGTCTGTTCAAACTATTGGGATTTGCAGCTACATGTAGGGCATCAACCATCAGTTTTTCTTGGCATGACCCAAAATCTTTTTGTATATCGTTGGTTCCGTCAAAATCGATCTTGTAGTCTATCTTCATCGAAGGTAGCACTGTTGCTGATTTGTTTTTCAGCTTAATGTCTGCTGACCTTTTTGAAAGCTGCTATTGATGGCGTGTTCCCTCACCCTTACATTTACCTGCCTGAATGTCTGTCTTACATATGTTGTATTTCAATTAGTGTTTAAGATCCTTGGGTTCATAACTATCCGACGTCTAGTTGCAACTCGAAAAAAACCAGGTAGGTTTCACGCTTGTTGGAGGGTGCATAGATCATATTTTCGCCCTATGACACGTTCTGGACACAGCCATACCTATCGGCCAATATCCGGTGATAAGAGGCAGGGTCTTCTGAAAGGATTGAACAGAAATCTGAGTATGTTTGGTATGCGTTTTACATCTGTGGAATCTAAGATGATGCTCCAGGAGTGGTGTGCAATGACTCCCAATTCAGTGATAAGGAGTGAAGCGGTAGGATGTGTCGACCGCTTCATTTGCGTGGGAGTTGCATCAGCCCGAGCTGGCCGGTTACTAAAAAAACCTTAGTTCGTTTACAGACGGTTTGTCTGACATTTGCCAGCTTCCCTTATATGTAGCGCCAGCGAAATATCCGACTACCTACCAAATGAAGAGTATACTGCTCTACAGTTCGTTCTCCTGTTTTCCGGCTGTAAGCCGTTAAAAGTAGAGGACAAGAAGCGGTTGTAGGCTTTTAGTCACATGTCTTCGTAACATTATTCGCATTTGGTGGGATCGCTGTGTGAGCAATGCTGAAGTCAGACGAAGAGTACTGGGCAAGGCAGGCAAGGTGATTGACGAGGTTCTGAACCTTAGTCAACTGAGATGGCTTGGACATGCACTGTGCATGTCGAGCTACCACTTATCTCGATGTACCAGTCTAGAGAAATTTGGATTAGATCGGAAGAGGGTTCAGGGTGGCCAGACCAAGACGTGGCACCTGTCAATGAAGTCTCTTACTGTTAACCTGAGTCGTGTTCATTGGTGTAGACTCCCTGGTTGTGGTCATTGAGACGAAAGGAATTAGCCGTTGAGGACTCTTAGTGACATAACTGAAATTCGGTCGCTACGATGCAGACGTGTTTACTTCTTGACATCTTCTAAAGCCTGGATATTCCCACTTACCTTTATCTTTGGGTTATTTATTCTCTCACACAGCTTTGTCTATTCTGTTATCACTTTCTGTCCACTTGTTCTCTGTATACTACTGTGAAGTATGGCAACTTGTGCTGATGCACCTGTGTAAGGTTTTACTTTGATTTTTTCAGTCAGTCATTCATTTTGGTTCCCTGCATTGAGCTAGTACAGTTAGTCAGAGTGAGGTTAATGACTGAGTCTTTGTTCATCAAGTCAGCAGCCATTACATGTAGCCGAACACCCAAACCGGACAAATGGTTGATCTCATTACCGATGAAATCTAACAGTATCAAGCAATATGATCAGGAGAACTAGATGCAGGAAGTTGTGTGAGTACTTTGGTATGATTGTGAGCAATAATTTATGTTTGAACGTTATCCAGTATATAATACCATATGAGTGTGCGGTTTATCAAATAAATCTAGTATGTTTCTTAAGGAGTTGGATATTTATTCCGTACATTAATTCCCATTAGCATGCAGAGGATGCTGAATTTTTGGTGCGGTTATCTCTTTCAGTGCTTTAACCACTGGAACTGGATTTGTCATTTAGTCTCTCTGTTCATAATTTCCATGGTTGTTCAACTGTAATTACTGGTTATAATAGATTAGTAGGATATATCGTATCAGAATAATTTCTGTGATACTACTCAGTGTTAGATGTTAGGAGTTGATCATCACTGGACCTACGTTTCAGGCTTGTTGGTGCTTATCAGTCTAGCGTATTCGTAATCTTGAGAAAACTGATATTCCTTTGGTGATTTGAACCTGCGTCAAATTCAGAGTGTTACACCACTTAGCTTAGCGACCGCAAACTTGTTCAATAGCCTTCAATCAGTGCTAACCACTTATGACTAGACAACTGCGTCGGTTACTCATTGGTGACTTGTTCGTTTGTCATACAGTTTGCTCATCAAATCACCGGCTGATAACAATACACATAAATGTTTGAACATTATGCAGATTGGCTAGTTTTGTGGCTACTAGAAATACATACCAATATCCTCATATCCCCTAGATATAAGCTCAAACATTTTGGTCTACAATGATTAATACTAATTTGTTTATATTTGATGCGCAGAGATGCACAAGTGTTATTCAACGGTAGTATTTACTTTTACCTTATGATAGTTATGTAGAAAGAATGTCAGCATCAGTACTCAGAGAAGCCGGTTAATTGTCATCCTCACTTTAAACTAAAAATATGTACTATCACAAAATGTTTTGAGTGTACTGCGTTCCCTAACCCTCAGAAAAAAAAGAATTTACCGAAAAAATCTGTTCTTCACATTTTTGTTCACTTAAGCATATCCTGCCATCGAGTACTGATAATTGGTGATGTACCAATTGTTTCAGTGGATAGAAAGTTCCTGAACGAATTAAGAGAGAATGATATGATTATTGATATTGGATGGATGCAACAGACTCAACAAGTACATCAATCTTTACTCAGCGATGAACATTGAAATCAATCTTGGGAACAGAGATGATGAACCATCTAGTCACTGTTATAAATATAACAACAAAAACCAAAGGTTAGGAAAGAAG